TTAAGCTGCAGTGAAAGCTTTGATAGTGGTAGAGGCAAGGGCCAGGACTGGGATTCTATATGTGTGTTACATTGTGCCTAGGAGTGAGGGATAAGGAAAAGCTTCACAGATAAGATAGCTCACATGGATAAAAACTGAAAAGAATCTTGAGGTAGGAGAGAAGTAGTGGGCATTCATATCATTCTTTGACTTAAAAACGTGTTCAGTTCTGATTCTGTCATCTAGCACCTTATTGCTCTCTGTGAAATCATCTATATGTTTTATGTCTTCTGTGTAGTTATCCATTGTTGATTGCAAACAAAGTTCAGCAGAAGAAGCTAAAGGCAAAAAGAACTGTGAAACATATTACCAAACGCTTCCCTCCATTGTTTAACCATCTATTAACCTGCCCAATTAAATTATTTTTCAACCCACATTTCTCTATTGAATGTACAGGGATATTACAAGAGACTTTTCAAATGCTTTGCTGTGATAAACATACATTCTGTAGTATTTGGAATACTTCTGGCTACAAAAAACCTCAACCCCATTGGCTTAAACACTAATAATAATACGTATTAGCTTACACAATAAGAAGTCCAGAGGCAAAAGAGTTCCAGGATTGGTTAATTCAGCCACTCAATGATGTAAAGGATCTGGATTTTATCTGTTGGTATGCTTTGCCACGCTGAGTATCCTGGATCATCTCTAGTGGTCACAAAATAGCTGCAGTAGTGCCAGGCATTGCACCTAGACAGAACACTGTCTAGTAGAAGAGGGTCTCTTTCTCTGTGTTTCTTTAAAAACAAAACAAAACAAAACAAAACAAAACAAAACAAAACAAAACAAAACAAAACATAAAGAAGCCTCCACAGTGGACTTCTATCTTGTTTCATTGATCAAAATTGCACCACATGCTAGTCACGGGCAAGGGGTTCCCGTGATTGGCATGGACTCAAGCCTTTACTCATCAGCGAGAAATTAGAATATCCTTCCTAAGCACTTGACCACAGGAAGTAGGCCAGAGCAGTGAAACAAAAGAAAACAAAACTGGGATCTTTCAGGAAGGAGGATTGAGGGGGGGAATGGATTTTTGGTAGATAACCAAGACAGATCGCTATGCCTATGGCATAGGATGTTCCAAAACATGAACATATGGTGCGCCTCCTATATAACATGATGTGTCTTGAAAAACAACATACGTTATGTCATTACTTTCCAAGAACAGTATTTCTGTCTGTCTCTACATGTCAAAAGCAATACATACAACATTTATAGATCATATTTCTGAATTTTTTCACTATTTTTTTTTACTGACCATTTTGTTGTTTGCTAGTGATTGGTTCTAAATGACTGGCTATGGTTACCAAAGCTTTTTTTTTTTACAGTATAGTATAAAAATTCTATGTATATGTTTAATGTTTTAATGATTTTTGCATTACACTCCTTTCATATTCTCAAGCAATACAGGCCCATTGCATTTCAGTAATCGTACCTACCAAGTTATTTACGCAAATCATCTCTTATGTACCAGTTTCTACTTCTTTTTCCTAGTATAATTCTTATACATGTCCAGCATTTAATTGGGTTGAAGGGTTTATACTTGAGACACGAGTGTGCATATTGGAACATTTGCATTTTTGAAATTTGGGGGACCAGAAAGTCTTACACGAAAGGCAAGAACAAAAAACAAAACAAAACAACCAAAGAAGCCCAGACAAACAAAAACACTTTAAGTATGGTATTACACACATCAGTGAGTAGAGATGAGGTTGGTCTCAGCTCTTCAAAATTTATGTCATGCAGGAAGGCTTCTCTTTCAATTACTGGGTCAGGAGAACCTTGTTGAGGATAATTGTACATCAGCCAAGAAGGGCCCAGATTGTCCAGAGAACATTGGGGTACCACTTCAATGTCTTCTCCAAATTTTGAAAAAATAATTCTACACTTAGAAAGTCGATTTCTTTTTTTCCATTTTTATGATATTGGAAATGAAAAAGTAATCATCCAAATGATTTCAACCTCTCATTTGGAAGCTGAATTGTTGCTGATTGCTGTAAGCTGAATTCTGTTTTATTTACCTAGTATTACTGCTGTTACTAGGAAACCATGCTTCATAGTTTAGTGTTTTACTGTGAAATATAAAATGTCCAATTATTGCAAAGGTATCTTGATGTGTGATTTAGCCTTTTATGTTTAAAGCTTCTGCATATTTTTCTGAAAGTTATTTTATGATGAATTAACATAGTTAATTTCTTTTCAAATATATTTATATCAACCTCCCCAAAGCCGATTTATTGTTATTTCAAAAATATTTGTAAAACTGTTCCAGAATTGAGGAACCTCTCTAGTGAGTCCCTGGATGGTTTTATTAGGGTGGTTGATATATTCCTCTGTACTTAACACTATGGAGCTGTTTGGTTAAGCCCTAAGTGAACTTCTTGAGGAAAACTGCATGAATTCTGAAGCATTCACTGTGTTAAGGGAAAAATTTATCTGTTGTATCTGATTTGTAGTGATTTATTATTTTTATAACATACTATACCCTTGGAAAACTACTTTCCAAAAATGTATTAATTTCCATTTCTCTTTTGAAATTTCCTATAATATTGCAGATGAATTTATATGTCATTTTCTAAACCTACTCTTCAGAGTGTCCAGAGAGTGAAAATATATACTAGTACAATAACAGCAATTATGGTAATATCCTAGATTTATATTGTTCTTTCTGATGATTTATCTTACTTAATTTTGTGCTTGTGATAACTCACACAATATGTGATGAGATAATTATTCCCATTCTTACAAGTAAGAAAATGGATATTTCGATGAATGAAATGAAGTTTCCAACCTCAGACAACTGATAAATGCTAAATCTGGAGCTTGAATTTAGTTTTTTCAGACTTGAAATCCAGTGTTGCATTCTGTCTACTTGTATAATAGTGTTACCGTGTATTTAATGCATATGCTTGCTTACCTGGATTCTCTGAATTATGGTGAAAAATGTTTCTTATCGCAGAGATTTTATCTGAAATATTTATTTTTTAATCACTGACAATGGAAATAGATTCAATTCAAATACTTATAGGGTGCTTACAAAATGCCAGGTTCTGTATTAGGCTCTTGTATATTCATTTCACCTTTATTGTTTCACTTAGTACTCTTTAGGGATCTTCCAATTCCCTTCTAATCCTAGGATTATTTAATTGTTAAGTGTCTGCCATATAGAAGACACATGTTTGTAGAAGCTCTAACTTCTCCAGATGATGAAGTTAGTTGGGTTTTAATGTTTATTCTTCATAGAAGTTAGGTCAGCGGTTCTAAATTTTATAATTTAAATGACCTCTTTGAAGAATTCTACCAAGATTTATAGATAGGGATACCTGGGTGACTTAGCCAGTTAAGCATGTGACTTCAGTTCAGGTCATGATCTTTCGGTTTATGAGTTTGAGGCTTGCATCAGGCTCTCTGCTGTCATCTCAGAGCCCACTTCAGATCCTCTGTCCCCCCCTCTCTTGACCCCTCTCCTACTCATGCTCACACTCTCTCTTTCAAAAACAAACATTAAAAAAAAAGATTTACAGATAGAGTTTTTTCTTTAAACTTGTATTATCAATCCCTTAATTTCTAGTTCTTAGTTTCTATGTTTAAAGTTTTATTGTTTTAAAATAATCCACAATGGAAGTTACAGTGATACTGGACACTTATGTGTTAGTCTATGAATAAAGATCTGAAATCAGGGCTTGAATTTGGTTATCTGGCTTACAATTGCTTATTTATATTGAAAGATGCATTGATTTTCAAAAATACCAACAGTGGTAGTGTCTTTCCCAAAAGGTTAAGATGATTGTTTGTGATTAATACTACTTTTTAAGTCTATCAGCATACCTTCAGCCATAGAAGCACACTAAAACCTGGGCCATATATTTAAAATTGGAATTGGTTCCTTGCTGCTAGGCTACTGAGGCATGAAGAATGGAGTCAGAGATTCAGAACCTTTAGTATTAAGGAAGGTAGCCAGCAGGAATGAAAACATTGAAGAATATTTTTTAGCAGTAATAATTAAGAGTTACCTGCCACCACTATAAGTGGTCCTCTTAGCTATCTCAAAAAGGGTGCTATTATAATCTTCTGCCAGTTCATGGGTGTGTGTATGTGTGTGCATGTGTGTGTGTGTGTGTGTGGTCATACACTAGATTTCATAGGAAATAGCTCTCTGCCCATTTGCAGCATTGTGGTTGCAGATATATTAACCTTGACCAAGAATGCACACAGCAGAGAAAAAGAAGTGATAAGTCAAGAGTATGCTAATCATGGTTGCAGTGTTTTTCTAGAAATGCCATTGAGAAGGCATCAGTAAATAGTTATTGAACTCCTATAATTTCTTTAAATCATTTAACAAATATTTCTAAGGACCTATTGGCTACCAGTCACTTTATTTGACCTGGGGAAAACAATAATGAATAACAAAACGTCTTCTGACTTCAAAAGACTTCTCTCTCTGAGAGAGAGAGAGAGAGAGAGAAGAGAGAGAGCGAGAGAGAGCACATGCATGCGCACACACAGCAGAAGGGCAGAGAGAGAGGGAGAGAGACAATCCCAAGCAGGCTCCGTGCTGTCAGTGTGGAGCCCAATGTGGGGCTCCATCCCACAAACCATGAGATCATGACCTGAGCCAAAATTGAGTTGGGTGCTCAACTGACTGAGCTGCCTAGGCCCCTCTTTTGGTGAAATGTTTTGGTAAAATATAAATAGATGGATACTTTTAACATCATAAAACATAGGTATGTCAAGGCTAACTCCATCATTATACTGACTTGAAAAACATTAGAAGCATTCCCTTTCAACTCAGGAGTAAACTAAGAGATCTTTACACAATCATTATTATTACATATCATTGTTCTGGGTGGTTCTATTGATGCAATAATTCAAGAGAAAGCTAGAAAATGGTAGAAAGGATGCTATGACAGTTTCCAGGCACAAGCCTTAAAACACAACTTTCTCTTTCTGTCTCTTGGAAGCTCACTTTTGGTACCTAGCCGCCATACCATGAGGAAGCCTAAGTCGACTGCAGGATGACCCACACTGACAGGTCCATAGCCCTGATGAGCCCTTGGGTGGTGGCAAGCACCAATTTGCCGTCTTGAAATCAGGTCCTGCGGATCCTAGTCAAGCAGCCCCAAGTGATGCTGTGAGGTAAAAATGAGCTACCTCTTCTAAGCTCTGCCCCAAATGAACATCTGTGAGCAAAATTAATATTTGCTGTTGTTTTAAGCCACTAAGTTTTGGAGTAGCTTACTGATGCCGTGATGGATAATCTGAATGGGTTTTAGTACCTAGAAGTGGGTGCTGTCATAACAAAACCCTGAGACATGTGGCACCGGCTTTGGGACTGTGGTACAGTCAGAAGCTGAAAAGGCCTTGAGGAAAATGTCAGTGAAATCCTCATACTTGTCGAGGAAAATGTCAGCAGAATTCTGAAGGCCTGGTGGGATGGTGGTGAGAGGGAATACATCAGAGTAAGAACATTCTTTCCTAAATTGTTTATAACTAAGAAAAGAAAATTACATAGTTTGAGGCTTCTCTTTAGTGGCTAAGAGCAGAAACAATGTTTGGGTTCTCAGCAAAAATATCATACCTTCACTTCATTCCTGATTTTGTAGAACAACTTTTAGTTTCAAAGTAGTTTCACATATATGATCTTATTTTATGTTTTATTTTGTTATTTTATTTATTATTTATTTATTTATTTATTTATTTATTTATTTATTTTACTGGAGAGCAAGACAGAGAGAGAGAGACAGAGGGAGAGAGAGACAGAGAGAGAGAGAATCCAAAGCAGACTCCACGCTCAGGGTGGAGTCCGACCCAGGGCTCAATCCCGTGACCCTGGGATCATGACCTGAACCAAAATCAAGAGTCAGATGCTCAACCGACTGAGCCACACAGGCTCCCCAATCATATTTTCTACTTTAAACAACCAATTGAAGTAAGCAAATCAGGTATTAATGTATGATCCCACCTTAAGATTGGCAGATCAAGAAGCTAAGCCACACGAGTATCTAGAGACAGGAGCAGTACTAGATCTGGCTTCTGTTGGTCCTGATTCCAGACTGTGGCTTCCCATGGTGGGTGGTAATGGAACCCTCGCTACGATTTGCACAGGGGGCAGGGGTAGTCATAGGAACTGGAGAACAGCAGACATGGCTTTCAGTGTTTGCGGGTCAGTATTTGTCTTTCAGAACACAGGTTCTGAGAGAAACGAACACTGTGCTTGTATTGACTTGTTTTTCTTTCCTGTCCCAGCTCTTTATATTCTGAGTGTAGTTCTAAATAAATGTTTCAGCTTCTGGAGGGTTGGTTTTGGCTCCAGGAAGTTCAATATTTGATGAGTTTGGAAACTGAGAAGCTGATAAGAAACACATCTAACACAGGTTGCTATTAGATTGCTTTTATACTGTCTCCTAAAACTTATAGTTAAAGGTGGATCCTGGATACAATTCATTGGTCCAATTACATATAATGTTTTTTTTGTTTTGTTTTGTTTTTTAATAGGAAGAACCCACAGAGAAGTATAGCAGTAATTTGTGGATGGGGCTTTAAAGCAGTCGCCTTTTGCAGGACACCTGCTTCTTTAAGATAGTTGTAAGAAGACTACAGGCTACATTTTCACCTCTGAAGTCATGAAAATATGGTAGTAATTATCCAAGATTTTTAACCATAGTGCAAGATATCAAGAAGTTTGAAATAAAGAAGAGAACGAGGTAACTTTTTGATCTTTGAGTAATCAGGAAACGACAAGAGTTTCTGAACCAAACTATATTAATCTCTTAAGTTTTCTGCTTCATTTGAAAATTAGGCCACTGCTTCTTTGGCTCCCTGACTTCCCAGAGCACCCTCATCCTGAGTGTTTTCCTCCAGTAAACACTGGCCTCACCTATTGGTTTATTTTTATCATTTAAAAAAGCAAACTGCAATCACAAGTCACGTGTTTGGCAGCCTTCTGTCTTAAAGAAGCAGCACCAGCATACCTGAAGCCCAGGTGAGCAGAGGTCTGGCCTCAAGACGACAGGGTTGCAGCAGAAGGAGGAACATAATGGGCCTTGGAAGGGAAGCCTATGCAGTGTACGTGGCCAGCACACATCAACACACGAAATGATGGCACCTAGAGGCAGGGGCAGCACTAGATGTGGTTCCCGTTAGTCCTGCAGAGCACTTTCTGAACTAGAGGATGATCTACAAATATGAGTTGTTGAATAAACTGGTCTCAGTGAGATGTTGCAGTAGTTCAGGCAGTGCTTACGTACCCTGGAGCCAACTCTCATGTATGCTAAGATTGCAATGAAGATCCAACAGGACGACAGTCACCATCAGTGATGTCAGCTATATTAAAGTGAATAAAATGGTGGCCTTTGCCAAAAAGCACAGAAGGGCAATATGTCATCCTAAGTCAATCTAAGTAAAAAGTCAACAAAATACCTCAATCCCTCCCCCTACACATATGTGAAGCGGATTGCTGGTCCAGGTCTTGCAGATGAGGAAATGAGATGAAGAAAGTTTACTAGAGACTGTGTCTTCCTGCTGCCTCCTTGCTGCCTGGCCGCTTGGATACACCCACTTCCTGTGTGACCACACTCTCCCTGGCCACAGGTATCGGGCCAAGGTAAATGTTTGCTAGGGACCCCAGGACTCCAAGAGATTGGTCTGGTAGGAAAGCATGAGCTATTGCAATCTGATCTTTCCTCTCTGGACATGGAATCAAAAAAAAAAAAAAAAAATCCAGCTGTGGGGCACCTGGGTGGCTCAGTCAGTCAAGCCTCTGACTTTGGCTCAGGTCATGATCTCACTGCTCCTGAGTTGGAGCCCTGCGTGGGGCTCTAGGTGGAGCCTGGAGCCTGCTTCAGGAGACTGTGTCTCCCTCTCTCTCTGCCCCTGCCCCCATTCGCTCTCTCTCTCTCTCAAAAATAAATGAACATTAAATTTTTTTTTAAAAGTCCAGCAGTAGGTTGCTAACTTAAGGATCTGTAGGCCTAATGAGGAGGCTGCCATTTATGGTCATGCTTAAGATGGGTAAGCAGAGGAATCTCAACAACACTAAGGAAAATGACAGAAGCATTCCAAGAAGCACAGATATGGTGAGAGAAATGGAAGTTTGAAAGGGATTGCTCCCAAAGTTACTTTGACTTCTATCCATCCTTTGGCTGGCATGTTTTTTGTTTGTTTGTTTTTGTTTTGTGGTTCCTGTGATACTTCACTGAATTAAAAATAAATTCTCTTTCTTACTTAAGAGGGTTTGAGTGATTTTTGATTTATAAGAGCCTGAAATGAAAGAGTTTATTGGTGGAGATTGTATAGCTAATAATTGGAGGTAAAAACCCATGATCATTAGATTCTCTCCCAGTTGTAAGCTCCATCTTTTTGCCCAATAACCTTTTCAGCACGTTTTAAGATCCTCCTAAAATTCTCAAAGAACAGGTCAGACTTTGTAGGTTCTAAGAATCATGGCATTCCGTTAAAGGAGAGAGCTCGGGGCAAACTTCAAATTAAGCCATGTATGCAGTCACCTACTTTGTTAAGGAACATTGCTGTTTCATTGGTTTTAAGGTAAGTATAATTTAGATCAATGCCTTGAAGAAACATTATAAATTGTTACTTGGAGAGTTTTACATTCTCTTCAAAGAGCAGCCCTTGTCTTCATTGTAACAACCTTTGCTTTTTGTAGAGACTATGCCTGCGGTAACTATTTATGTATAACATGGTAGGGTCCTGTACCACTTTTGCTGTAATGTAATCCGGTTCATGTTTATTCTATTTTACAATTAACTTGGGGAAACAAGAAACAGTTTAACCATTAGAATGCATTAAATCCATAAGAAAATCTTCATCTTCGAGGAATTTATTCTGAAGTGTATTTCTTTAAATCCATGACATATTTGAATCAAAGATTTGAGGAGACCAAACTCATTGTCAGTTGTCACCAGGGAATGCATTTAGAAATATTTTTCAATTTGGTGATAACAAAAGAAATTTGACATACATTTAAAAACTGTCAATTTATCACTTTGTGGTTATTACCAAGGATAAAATACATTGTATTTTTAAATGGCAGAGTGTGTTATAAAATCAATTTTGCCCTTGTCTTTTGGGCATTGCAAATACAAAGACCATATTAGAGTAAGGGATTTATATAATCTCTCTAAAGAATTCTGGGATAAAGCAGATATGTGAATTTGTGTGACATATCCATCAGGTGTCTGTCTGTGGGTTTGTGGATGAATGGTAGAAACATTCTGCTGTCTTTAATCACCTCTCATGTCTTTCCATCCATCACTTTGAAGACAGTATGGATGATGACTGTGACCTGGTGTGTGAGAATGGCTACATTCTCCAGTGTTCACACAGCAAGCTTCCTCTTGGATGCTGGAAAACATTGAATTAAAATTCAACATATGAAGTGTAATTTTACTTGAATTTAAAAAAAGAAACGAAACTGAAGTGACAGTTAAGAGTGTTCTCTACTTCAGATAAATGGCTTTCTCCTTTTGCAACAAGTGCTATTGTGTCATCAGAGATTCTTCTGGCTCTTTTTCAAGATAGAGGACTAAACATTTCTTTACGCACGTTTCTCACTACATTCCGCAAAGATACTAGCTAAAACAAAAGGAAATAGAGTCATCATAGGCAGAGAACAAAGTGATGTAGGTTCGGGAAACAGGCCAGTCAATTCCGTAGAGAATTTCTAGAAGATTGAAAATAGATGGGTTTTGCTGAGGAATACATTAGAATGGGGGGCACTTCATGTCAAATACGTGACGGAGTCTGAAGTAGAGAATTCTCCCTTGTGAGAAAGAATGATTCCTCACTCAGACAGTTGGAGACAGCACATAGACAAAAAAAAAAAACAACCACACAAAAAAAGGGGGGGGGGGTGGTAAAGGAGGGACCCATTGAAATGGCTCCTTGAAGGGATATCTTCTGAACAGATGTGTTGGTCTGACCTCCTCTACCTTTCCTTCCTGTTTGTTCTCTCCATCGTCAACATACACACAGAGTTCCTAGCCTCATCTATTTACCCGGAGGCTAAACTCAGAGAATGGCACTTTAGAGAAGGTAATTGCTCTGTTGAGGTGTGGGATTGGTGTAAGCAAACAAGACATAGCCCTTATCAGTTCAGCCTGGGGGGAAGGGGCTGGGGGTGGGGGCTGTGCAGGTAGGTGGAGGGCTTAGTGAAAGCTTGTTTGCAGCTAGCCTTCCCGTTGACTTGAAAAGAAAAGAAAAAAGAGAGGAAAGGAAAGGGAAGGGAAGGAAGAGAAGAGAAAAAAGAAAAAAAAGAAAAAGAAAAAAGAGGCCTTTGTACATACAGAGATGTGGTATCCTAGCTTTCTTCATTCATAAATATAAATAGACATTTCAGGACTGCCAGATATTTGAAGAAGTAAACAGCACAAAGCAGAAGCAGTAAAAACAAAGTGGCCAAAAGAGAAACAGACAAATCTTAGATAAAGGATAATTTTAAAAATCATTTACTGTATCCATTCAACACATGTTAGTTAAATATCCAATGCCTTCTAGGTGCTATTGTAGGCCTCGAGACACAGCAATGAATAAAACAAAAATCTCAGCCTCATGGAGCTTATATTCGGGCAGGAGAGACAGACAATACATAAATAATAAACATAAGAAATATGTAATTTAGGTAAGATGATAAAGTTAAAAATAGAACACAAAAGGCAATATAAAAAAGACAAATGTACTGGGTGGGGCAACATAAATTATAGTTTTAAATAGAGTATTTAATGGGTGCCTGGATGGCTCTGACTCCTGGTTTTGGCTCAGGTCATGATCTCATTGTTCGTGAGTTTGAGCCCAGTGTTGGGCTCTGTACAGGTGGCAGCACAGAGCCTGCTTAGGGCTCTCTCTCTCTCTCTCTCTCTCTCTCTCCCTCTCCCTCTCCCTCTCTCTGTCTCTCTGCCCCCTCCCTGGCTTGCACACCCATGCACTCTCTGTCTCACAAAAATCAATCAATCAACGTTAAAAAAAATTAAATGGTGTAGTAAGAGCAGGTTTATTGAGAAGATGACAACTGAGCAAAGAATTGAAGTCAGGGAGTCAGCCAAGATGAAAGAACTTTCTGGGAAGATGAAACAGCCAGAGCACAGACCTTAACACAGGAGCACGTCTGGTATCTTTCGGATAAACAAGACGTATCACTTCTTCTGCTGGCATAGGGCTGAGGCAGGGAAAGACTAGAGCAGGAGTAACCCAGGTCACATCTTGTAAGGCTTTGCAGGCCGTTGTAAGAGCTTCGGCTTTGATGCTGAGGGAGCTGGGAAGGAGCCCTTGAAGGTGAAGGAACAGAGGAGTAACATGACATGACTTTGAGCTGTGGGGAGGGGCGGGATAAATGTAGAAGCTGGAGACCAGACCATGCAGAGGCTATTGGTGAAATCCAGGCAAGACATGACGAGGAATTGGACTAGGGTGTTAGCAGTGGGGATGGTGAGAAGTGATCCTAACTTAGAGTATATTTTGGAAGTGGAGAAGGCAGAGGAAAATTATACCCTTCTTAACAGGCAACAGTGGCCTGATGGAGGAAGTCCAAGCTCAGTAACCAGGTGATAGAGCTAATAGAACAGTGAAAACACTCTACCAGGGCACCTGGGTGGTTCAGTCGGCTAAGTGTCCAACTTTAGCTCAGGTCGTGTTCTTGGTGAGTTCAAGCCTCGCCTGGGCTTCTGTGCTGACAGCTCAGAGCCTGGAGCTCCCCTCAGATTCTGTGACTCCCCTCCCCCCCCCCTCCCCCTCTCCCTCTCCAAAATAAATTAAAATTAATATTTTTAAAATGAAAAAAAAACTTTACCAAAATAATAATAATAAGAAGAAGAAGAAGAAGAAGAAGAAGAAGAAGAAGAAGAACCCTCAAAGAGATACAGTAAGATCATAGAAGACTTTCTGGGTATAACCCCAATCTCCTCAT